ACGGAACCCAACAATACAGACGACTTACTAACCAGCCCTAGGGATTCTAGGAAAGTCCACAGGTTGATTATGAAATCCAAACCATTTAAAGCAGCAGGGAAGGACCAAATTGTAGCGAAAGACTGCAAATTCTTACCTAGGAAAGCAATAGTCCAACTTACGTACATATACAACGCGTGTATTAAGCTGCATTACTTCCCCAATGCCTGGAAGGAAGCAAAAGTTATTGTCTTCCATAAACCAGGAAAAGACCAGAAATTGCCAGAGAGTTATAAACCGATCACACTCCTGAACTACCTCGAGAAAATCCTAGAAAGAATCATAAACAAAAGGATAACTAAGTTTCTGGAAGACAATAACGTCCTAATAGAAGAACAGTTTGGATTCAGACTTGGCAGATCGACCGAACTACAATTAGCTAGAGTGGTCGACTACGCCATGGAAGCCAACAACGTAAACAACACGACTACTCCAGCCACACTAGACATGGAGAAAGCGTATGACACCGTCTAGAGGAGGGCCCTCATATACAAGATAGAAATAAATATAAACCCAGCCATAACAAAAATAGTTGACAGCTTCCTGGAAAATAGACGATTTGCAGTAGACATTAGGAACACCAATTCAGAAACTAAACCTATCACCGAGGGCCTTCCCCAAGGCAGTGTATCACCAACGCTTTTCAATAGTTACTTGAACGACATACCAAAGAGACCAGACACCAACATTGCGGTCTATGCCGACGACATTGCTATATATACAAGATCAAGAAGGACACACATATCAGCAGCCATGGTCGAATAACATACCAGATAGATAGACGAATACTGCCACAAATGGAAGCTCAAACTAAACCACAACAAGATAAACATAATCCACTTCAACCAGAAAAGGACAGACCCAAACCATATAATCATAAACGACAATGAAATAACACCTTCTGAAAATGTGAACTACCTAGGGATAAACCTAGATAGAAAACTAAATTTCATAGAATACTGCAAACAGGTCAGAAGAAGAGCAGGACTAGCAGTGTCATCCATATACCCTTTCCTTTCCACAAGTTGTAGGTTAAGCCCAGAAATTAAAATAGGCCTATACCGGGCGTATGTCAGGCCTATTATGACGTATGCTTATCCAATCTGGAGCTCAGCAGCCAAATCAAACAAGACATCTATATTCAGACTAGAGACCAAGTGCCTCATGATGGCCCAAAATATTAAATGGGACCAATTCATTAGTAACCATGTGGTCTACCCTAGAGCAAATGTTAGACCAATTGAGGACGCTCTACTAGACAGGACCAGAACCTTCTTCGAACGGACCACCAGAAGACTACAGAGTACAAGAGACATAGGACGGCGCACGAGAGGACAATTAACCTACAGGATCAAACATAGGGTAATTAACAACATGGTGATGAGAGAGTAGCACTACACAACTAAAAGTGCTACAAGAATCACATCTCGGAAGACTACGGAAGAACAAAGATAACCATATAATCCAGAAAACAGGACGAGAGCGCCAAAACCAGATAGAGACGCGCAACTACCCCCCCTCCCCCACAACCAGGCAAGACTAACGTAGCCTAATAAGTTAGTTTAAGTAACCAATCTGTATACAGGGTGTCCCACTAAGGTCGACGAGGTACGTTATTATGGAAACCATAGGCCTTACGGCATCGGGTTTTTTTTTTTTCTTCACTAAATCGGCCAAGAGAAATTGATGGAAAATATTTTCAAGTTTCTAAGATGACCGCTAGGGGGCGCAATCACGATGATATAACTAAAAATTCAAATTTTCTCGAAAAATCACTATATTAAGGTACTGTTTTAACAACAGAAATCAAAAGTTCGTTAATTTTTGCGCCAGTTTGCTTATTAACCTTTTTTCGTATCTTCACTAATAAGGGTGGGGGAAGCTGATGAAAAAATAGTTTTAAAAATTGCTGTATCTTCCATACCCCTTATCCAAACTCATTCAATTTGGACTTATTCGAAAGAGAATTTCATTGTTATTAAGAGCACCACTTCGTTCGGGGTCGATAGTTCCCACCACGTCTTCTAGAGGGCGCTGTTTAACCAAGATCCAGTTTTTTCTAATTTTCTGGAAAAATCCAAATGGCATGATATATTTTTTTATAACTCTGCTTAAAGAGCAAAAAATTATCTACATTTTCGCGCAAATTGTAATCCGATATCTGCATTCGTTTTCAAGTTATTTGCAAATAACTATTTTAATCGAATATCTCCCTCCTGTCATTTTAAACCAATCAAAAAATCTCATTTTGTGGTCAAAAATTATTTTCAAGTAGAAAAATTTCATGACATGACATGAAAACAAAATAAAATACTCATAAATGTTAATAAATCAATAAAAATTTATTGTTTTGCTCGTGCTTCTAATTTTTCCTGACGCAAAATCTACAAAATCTCGTTTGCAAGTAATTTGTTTACCAAAATACTGGCGTTCCTGTCAGTATTTTGGTAAACAAATTACTTGCAAACGAGTTTTTTAGATTTTTCGACAGGAAAAATTAGAAGCACGAGTGGTTTTTGTTAAGAATGTTTCCTTACTGCGCAAAACAATAAATTTTTATTGATTTATTAACATTTATGAGTATTTTATTTTGTTTTCATGTCATGTCATGAAATTTTTCCACTTGAAAATAATTTTTGACCACAAAATGAGATTTTTTGATTGGTTTAAAATGACAGGAGGGAGATATTCGATTAAAATAGTTATTTGCAAATAACTTGAAAACGAATGCAGATATCGGATTACAATTTGCGCGAAAATGTAGATAATTTTTTGCTCTTTAAGCAGAGTTATAAAAAAATATATCATGCCATTTGGATTTTTCCAGAAAATTTAAAAAAACTGGATCTTGGTTAAATAGCGCCCTCTAGAAGACGCGGTGGGAACTATCGACCCCGAACGAAGTGGTGCTCTTAATAACAATGAAATTCTCTTTCGAATAAGCCTGAATTGAATGAGTTTGGATAAGGGTTATGGAAGATACAGCAATTTTTAAAACTATTTTTTCCCCAGCTTCCCCCACCCTTATTAGTGAAGATACGAAAAAAGGCTAATAAGCAAACTGGCGCAAAAATTAACGAACTTTTGATTTCTGTTGTTAAAACAGTACCTTGATATAGCGATTTTTCGAGAAAGTTTAAATTTTTAGTTATATCATCGTGATTGCGCCCCCTAGCGGCCATCTTAGAAACTTGAAAATAATTTCCATCAATTTCTCTTGGCCGATTTAGTGATGAAGAAAAAAATCCCGATGCCGTAAGGTCTATGGTTTCCATAATAACGTACCTCGTCGACCTTAGTGGGACACCCTGTATAATATAATAACCAAATTTTGTAAATAAAGAACTATTAATATAGGGAAGCTTAAAAAGGAACCCATGTACATATAACCACTGTAAATATCTAGAATAAGATTGTAAATTGTGAGGCAAATATTTAACAAATAAATAAATAAATAAATAAATAAATAAATAAATAAATAAATAAATAAATAAATAAATAAATAAATAAATAAATAAATAAATAAATAAATAAATAAATAAATAAATAAATAAATAAATAAATAAATAAATAAATAAATAAATAAATAAATAAATAAACTCAGTTTCAGTTGGCATGCTTACCGCGACGAGAGCATAACAAGCTCGAAACCGGAGCCTTTCACTGCCTTTAATATAAAAGGACTGAAAGGAGCATCATTTAAATGTGAAAATTAACATTCCTAGTATATCCCTAGAATCAAACAAGAATGTTATGTCTAGGATGCATATTGAGAATGATATATGTAGATATATTCTAAGAATATTTCAAGCATAGTGGTATAATATTCTTTTGAGAACATAACTATAATGTCAGAAACATTCTTTGAATGTGAGAATATACTTTTCAAGCAAATTTTTAGAATCAAACAGAAATATTTTTCCCAGGATGTACTGAGAATCTCATAGGTATATTCTAGGAATATCCTAATGGATTTCCCAGGAAGTTCTTGGGTATTGCAAACAGTATTTCTACAATCTTTTTTCAGAACATTCTCAGGACATTCGCAATGGTTTTGGCGAACATTCTAGGCACATTCCTCCTAAAAAAAGAACATTCCCATTACATTCTAAGGATGCAATTTTGTTATGTGGGATAATTTCAGTTACCGTTTGTAACACGGTTACAAACGGTTAGTCGCTAAAAAATCCTTAATGTATCTGTATAATAAATGAATTTGAAATACTATTACATATGTGCTTTTGGGCCCAGGGAGAAGTTCATTCAATTTACCGAGGCACTCAACCTGTTATTCATTTTTTGAAATAAGATTTTTTCATCTATTTTTTAATATTAAAAATATTAAAATGTTTAAAATCAGCTAAAAAATAAACAGCCTTAAAAAGAATAATTAAATCACTCTGTGGACTTGTTTTTCAATGTGAAAACCAGTATTAAGGGAGGTATTAAGGGAAGTATTCTTCTATCACTTCTGTTTTCCAAATAGAACACTGTGGAACGTTCTAGAACTTTTCAGAAAACTTTTATAAGCTCAAATGCACTAGTTGTCTCGCCAATTATTTCACTATTTAGATCATCCACTTTGGATACCAAATTGTCACGGACGCCGCTGATACAAATAAAAACTCTCTTCGCCTGGTTACATATCAAAAAAATTAGATATTTTGAGAAAACCGTTATCGCTAGAAGAGTTAAGACAAGGGCGGATATTCCAGCACTACATGAGCTAGTTGAAAAAAATGGAGTTTGCTATGCCGGGATGATATATTCGGTATAGCCGAAGGCATTTCTTTTATATCGAATTTTTTCAATAAAACTAATGTAAAATCAAATATGCACCAGAACCTGGAAATATTTGAAGGCATTTTTCCCAAAATCGCAAAATCGAATGTAAACTTTTTTGCCAAATGAAAGTAGAAAATTTTTGCGAAGCCCTAAAAAAAAAAGAAAATCCTACTTACCGAACAGAAGAAATATCACAACTAATTTGCACAAATTCCACATTTTTGAAAACTTTTATCAAAATTATCAACTGCCTGAATGGATTCCGCCAAATCAGAAAAATATTCCAAAGAGCTTGGTTAGAAAACTTGCGAGAGTAACGTCAAACTAGACTGGAACAGAAATTATAAATTCAGTCGAGAACTGATTCGGTAACTGACTATGCTTAAGGTAGACAGACCATTGGTATTGTTGCAGTAGGCGCATTAGCGCATTGCATGGAATAAGAAGGGGGAAGTGTTCAAATTGGCGGCTGTCCATGTGTGGGGAAAACGGCGAATGGGTTTCCACAAAATACCGATTTCTATAGATTGTAGTAAAATAGCAGAATATGGCGTTTGGATTCCTGGTCAAGGATTTCGACAATGGTAAAATAATCTAGTCTAGCATCGAAAAGAGTCTCTTTACAATCGTGTACGGGCCTTCTCATACTGGTGTTAGCTTGATAGATCTACCTTTTTTTCTTTAAGGGTTATAAAGCCAAACTTTGTAATTCTGCTGGAGCGAGTTTGCCTTAAAATCACATCTCGTTTCCATTCGGTCACTTGTGAACTGCGACCTACGACCATTATCTAACTATCTCATGGAGGTTGTTTGACCTTTTCCACAATTCGTCTTCCATGTCGGCGACATCTGATGAACCTTACACGAAATCACAACGTAAACGAAACTCTCTTCCAAAAAACACCTTAGCTGGTGTAGCTTCAATTAAATATGTACAGCCGATCAGGTATAGAGATATGTACCTATATATGCTCGTCCTAGGTCGTAGGAGTAGGAACATGGAATGAAAAAGTGGAGCTGTTTTTTTTCCCAGGAATTTTGATCATCAAAAATAATGACGGTATAACCAGTTCAATGTCTCATCTGTATTTTTGGCGACTAAAAACACCTGCGAAAAACTAGCTTCACTTTCGATTCATAACTGGAATGGCGCATTCCTACTCCTGATGCCTGATGTAGAACAGAACTCGTCCTGATGTTTGTCAACTACTCTAGAGAGTTTTTCGATCGTTTCGCTAATTTTCTTAACCATGTCATCTGATTGTGGTGCTATAATTATGGTATGCTGAATGCCTAGAAGTTCACAAAGTTCCTAGAATATTCGTGACTTAAAGTTGCATCCTTGATCCTAATGCAGTTCCAATGGAAATCCAAACCAGGTAACCAGGATGTATCTGTTGCTACTGCCCGACGTAGAAAATGTACCAGCTATATTTAATGCCATTCGTTCGATGGGTTTTCTCACGTTGTACTTCTTCGTTCGTCTCTTTAATCGCGTTTTACGAATTTGACTTGCTGCGCATGTTGCAGACATACCTGATAGTTAACCCAGTAAAATCTGTCACGAATGTTTTTCAAGGTTTTTGTTGACCAAGTGAGCTCAGGATGTTCCATTATGAACTAAAACTGGAACAACTTTGATCATCGATTTTGACCACCACTGGCGTAGCCAGGGGGCAGAGGGGCATTTGCCCCCACCCCTTTTATAAATAATTCTTCAAAATTAAAATATGCAGTCCCAAAAATACCGTGAAAAGATCCAAAAATTTCGCGACTGCGGCGCTTTTCCTCCGGCAGAGCTCGCGGTGGACCGACAAGAAACACTTCCTATAAATTTGCCGCCCCCAAGACAAAATCCTGGCTACGCTAGTGTTGACCACCTTGTCGTCAGCGTTCTATCAGGTTCGTTTTAGTAAAATATTTTCGACTAACAGTGAGACCCATTGGCCCCACAGCTCTAGGTTAAATTTAGTGCCTGGTTGGTCTAAATTAGCCGGTATCGGTAGGTGACCTATGGGTTCAAAAATGGTTTGATGTCACTATCACCTACAACAGGTTGATCACTTACAAGCTGTTCGGAACTCCATTTTCGATCCGTTTCAAATCAGAGGTTTGTAACAGGACCTCCTTAACATTGAACAATTCTGAGGCATTACTTATGCCGATTCCCTGGATAAGGTCTCTACGTTGCTATGTAGTTTACCATGAAAATCGTAATGTTGCAATTTCTCCAGACACCTTGTTTGTCCTGATATGGTTGTTTTGTGTTTGAAAGTAATTGAAGAGATGCATCGTCCGCTCTCATGAGAAATTCTTGTCCATACAGATGTTGTTCAAATGATCCACAGTCACAGCTCTGATTATTGCTAACAGTAGGTAACCTTTCTTTTGTTGTGACCAGAACAATTTTTCCATGTACCCGTGGGTAGCCTAGAATAGTACTAGAATATAGAGCTGCCGCGCTGCTTTCAGCTTTCCACAAGCTACGTCACAGTTGATAGTTCAATTAAAAGTAGCTTTTGGTTCAATAAGTTTTTGCAACGTTGCTGCAAACCTAAAAAATCCTTCTACAAATCTTCTTGTATGTATATACAAAGACCAAGGAAACTCCTAGTCCTAAGTTCTTGGCTTGTCTCTGGGTCGAGGAATTGCCTGGATTATTTTCTGGTCAGCATTAATCTTATTGATATTGTAAAGCTTTCTATTCATTGACACAAAATCTGGTAGATCCTTCTTTCTTGGTTACTAGTACAATTGGCGATGACCGCGGACTTTGGCTCTTCAACAAATTCCTCTGTAAGCATACTGTCTACTTGTAAGTCCACTTCTTGTTCTTTCGTTATGGGAGTTCTTCTAGGATTGGATGGGCACTGGCAGTATTGATTTCATGCCTTATGATGTTCGTCTTACCGGATTAACCATTTTCACAAGTTTTAACCTCAAAGATATCCTTATGCTCAGCAACGAATTATTGAGCCTTCTCCAAGAGGTTCCGAATTGTCTTAGAATGTCGGTGGATGATTTATTCCTATTCTTTCCTTGATCTTCTTCAGCTTTATACATTGAAATCTTTTTGACAGTCTCAAAGGTGGATTAGGTGGCTATGACATCGCCCTTGATGATTTGATGTGTTTTGGTAAAGCTTTGCTATTCGGAAAGGTATACCTAATTATTCCTTTTGAGTATACCAAGATTTCCATTGGCATTACGAGGTATTTATTGGAGTTTGTTGCGGCTTGTTTTGCGGCGCTTATTTCCACAATTTTTGTAGCTTTTACGCCGACGGACATTAGATCCTAAGATTTGAATAAGTAAAACTATTCAGTGCCAAGTTTCAGGATGTTAAGCAGGTGGTCGATGATGACATCTTTCCCTTTCTGATAAACCGCTTACTGCAATCACTTCGACACGCCTCGCCCGAGAACAGATTTACTCTATCAACAGTGATCTTGACACTATTACCAACTGGAGCCTTATAACAACCTAGTCAAATTCATTGCTTCCAAAACTCAAGCAGCAGTATTCTCCAATAAGAAATCTGCCGATGATACCCAGTTTTAAGGATGTCGAGATGAAACGTCTCTATCAATCAATCCCTTCTTGGGGTGACCGTATCGACCAACTTGTCTTGGCATGACCATGTATCTTCGATCGTCAAAAGCGCTTCTCAATAATTAATTAGGTTTTTTGTTTCGTGCAAAAAACTTTTTTACTTCTGAACAACTTCGTTCCACATTTGGAGCGACGCTCCCAAGCATTCGTTGGCTCTATTAGATGCAGTACAAAGAAGAGCAATGAAAATGAACAATAATCCAACTCTCACCGATTCATTACATTCTCTCAAACATAGACGCAAGGTCGCTGACTTGTCGTTATGCTATCGCTACTACCATGGGAGACGTTCTGACGATCTGGACCACAAGAACCTCACAGGCATCCCATACGAGTATGTAGTAAAGTTGGCTATCGCGAAAACCTCTAAATATAGGGCTTCTATGTGGTGGCGAACTGCCCACCTCTGGAATTCCCTGTTTCCTACTCCTACCTAATTCTTCCGCTCATGGTACCGTTGTATGGATTTTATCTTTTGTGGGCGGAACAATATAAAAAAACAAAAAAATATTCCAGAAGTTTCATCAGTGTGTCTCTAATTTCTCCTATTATTCATATTAGTTCTTTTTCTTATTCTTGTAGTAATACAGCTCTATGGTTTGGGTATGTCGATTCGATTTTTAGGGCTCTGATTAGAGCTTTACTGCTGTTTGGTTATCACCAGCGTTCTCTGTATATCCATAAATCTAATTCTATTGATAACATTTTGTGGCCGCTAGTTGTCCTCGCATTTCTGCTGTTGCTTCCGGAAAGGCCAAATTAACCAGACGGCGGATATCGGTTTCAAGTTCTTATTACCTTTCCACAGCTATCTGTTGTCTTGTCCTTATGGCCGTTTCCACCAACTATTTTAGGGGAGCCTTAACGATAAGTATTCCCTAAAATGATATTTTTACATGGAGAAATGTCAGTTTAAGGAATACTTATCGTTAACTCTTCCCTTAACTAGTTGGTGGAAACGGCCATTAGCAACCTGGTAAAGCTGCTGTTATAGCAAGGTTGTGTCAGCAATCAAGATAGCTGTCATCACAAGCACCTATCCTGACACTAAGATGACAGCAGAACAAGGGAAAAAGGTACAGGAAGCTATTCTCCAGGAAATCTGGAAGTGCCAATCTGGAAAAGGACCCAAGTTCAACCATAGTCAAGCAGAACATGGCATGGTTCACTTCCATTGGCTAAAAATGGTAACCCCAAAACTAAACTCCTGGGAAGGGGCAAACCGGTACTACCATCCAAGGATGTCGCTCCCAGAGTAAGGGTATCGGTGTGGATACCCAAAGAACATCTCGACCCGACAAGAACACTCCGTTATCTAAAAACCCAAAACGAGGGGATAGACGCGGATGACTGGAAGGTGTTCAACATCAAGGTAGAATTAAAAGCTCGATTTAAAGGTTCCATTCTCGTTGTGGGAATAGACGAGAACTCTATGAAGGTGCTAACCAAGAAATACTTCAAGCTTTACCTTGGCCTCAAGATGCTAACCTTCAGGGTCCCCGATCCAAAACCCAAAAATGCTGCAGGTCCTTCAGATAAACTTGCAGCATAAAAAAGGTGCAACTGCTGCCTTCTGCAAAACTTTCGAGGTAGGGGGCATTGACGTGGCTCTGATCCAAGAACCCTGGACGTCAAGGAACAGAGTCATGGGTCTAGGCAACATCGGAGGTAAGTTAATCTGTAACTCAAACTCAGAGAATGTAAGAAGCTGCATTATTGCAAACAACAATAATAATGCAATAAAAATGACAAGTTTTTGCTTCAGGGACATGGCAGCAATAAAGCTTGACTACCAAGAAGCAG